AAGTTACACGTTCCAACCTGCCCTCTGTGGGTTCTGGTGCCAGCGCTGGTTCAGTTTTCACAGCTGATCTGGGTTCTTGTATAACAGTCATTCAGTTCTCAGAGCCTTTGGCGCCCTGCTTGGGGTCAGGCCGGTGCATGCGCAGGGTGAGCACGAGCAGGAGTTCATATACACGTGTGATGCCTTTCTAAGCGGCCCCCTCTGCACAGTCTTCTCCACACTCCCTGCTCCCAGGAGCCCCGAGAAGGCCAGCGCTGCAGTTTCCCCTCTCTGCACACCTTCTGTGTCTAAGCGGTGGGAAAAGAGAGAGACTAGAAAAGCTGAGGCTGCAGGTTCCCACCAGGGGAGGGAAACCACCCAGCCAGCGCAGGGGGCATTTCCACTCTCTGTCCTTTAGGGGTTCTCTTTCTGCTTCTCAGGCAAGAGAAGGAGGGCTTGTCTTGGAGCAATTTTTGTTGGCACTTGGCATGCAGTTCCAGGATTTGTGCTGCCTTTGAATTCAGACCAGGAGATAAGGGGGCCACGCCCTCAGAAGCCCACCGCCCGATCATGTGTGCCGTGAGATATGGTTTCCTCTCCAATCTGTTTGATACGGCTTATTTTTCAGAGCCCCCAGAAAGCCAAACTGTGGGTCCAGTCCCAGGGTTTCAACTGCATTCAGAGAAAGAGGAGTGGACTGTGCTGACTCCATCTGGCTTGGGGCCAGAATGTCTTAATTGTTTTCACAAAGATTAAGAGACATTTAAAACTGCGTTTAAATTTTTCCCAGTAGGAAGCTTTGTTTGAATAAACTGGTTTGCTATTGCTAGACTCAGAATATTTCAGAGTAAGTCTATCAAGTTCTGTAATCAATCCAATTGGAATTATAATGCAGTTGCCTGAACGTGGTAGGTTAATTTGAGAGCCTTGGAGAGTTTCTTCAGACGACCTTTTATGTCTTTAAAAGAGTGTTTAGCCCTGCCAGGTGGCTCAGTTGGTTCCGTTGTTTGGAGGGTGGTTCCGTGCACCAAAAGGTTTCTGTGAGACGATTCTCCTTGGCTCGCAGGCCACTTACTGCCTTCTCTCTGTCTTCACATTCCCTCTCCTCTATGTCTTTCCCTGGTGTCTCTCTGTGTTCAAATCTTTTCATAAGGACAGCAGTATGATCGGATTAGGGCGCACCCTCCTGGCCTTATTTGAGTTTAGTCACCTCTTCAAAAGCCCCATTTCCAATACAGTCACATTGTAAGGTACTGGGCGTTAGAAATGCAACATGGATTTAGAGGGGCACAGTTCACTCTATAACACCGTGATTCTATGGTCATGTCTTGAGAAACAGTAACAACGTTTTTTTATTCTTCCCCCACCTTCAGCTTCATTGAGGAATGAATGACGAATAAGCACTGTATATTTAAGGTGTGCAGTGATGCTTTGATATATGTAGACATTGTGAATTCGAAACATCAGCATTTGTGTTGCCTGTCACTACCAGAACCAATAAAGAGAGACAAAGCCTGAGTCTTTATGGGAGCTTTCCTGAGATGGCTGGTGATCTGAGAAGACAGCCGGTACCCTAAGGACCACCCTACATCTCACCTCGATCAACCTTTTTTATTTTACCTTCACCAGAGGATATTTTTCCATTGATTTTTAGAGACAGTAGAAGAGAGTTGGAAAGACAGAGAAATATTGATGTGAGAGAAACCCATTGATCGTTGCCTCCTGCATGAGCCCTGACCAGGGCTCAGGCCGGGGAGGAGCCTACAACCGAGGTATGTGCCCTTGACCCGAATGGATCCCATGACCCTTCAGTCTGCAGGCTGATGCTCTATCCATTGAGCCAAACGGGCTAGGGCTCAAAGTCAATCCTTTTTTTTTAAATTGATTTCAGAGAGGAAGGGAGAGGGAGATAGAAACATCAGTGATGAGAGAGAATCATTGATCAGCCACCTCCTGCAGGCCCCACACTGAGGATTAAGCCCGCATCTCGGGCATGTGTCCTTAACAAGAATCAAACCTGGGACCCTTCAGTCCATAGGCCAATGCTCTATCTACTGAGCCAAACTGGCCAGGGTTCAAAGTCAATCCTTTTTATAAGGAGAAGGAAAGTGTAGGTAAGGGGTTTGGAATTCAGGGAAAGGTTAATCAGATAACAGCTGCAGTCCTGCCAGTTTCCTAGCGTCCCTTCCTCTGTTGATCCGTGATTCTTTATTGGCGTCCTGGGCGGGGATGTTCTCCCTCTGGAGCACAGCAGCTCAGACACCAGAGCTCCAGATGAGAATCTGTTTGGCTAATCACAAAGTTCCTCAGTATCAGTATCATCATTGTCATCATCGTGAATGAAAGGGGTCACATGCTAACCCAACAAAATTTTAAAGGCATTTAAAAATTCCTTCCTCTCTGTAAAATATCAATAAAATATATTTTTAAAAAAATTTTGTTAGAGGGTAAATCTCATGTTAAGTGTTCTACACACACACACACACACACACACACACACATACACACACACCAAAAAGACACAAACTGTTGAAGGTGATGGATATGATTATTACCTTAACTGTGGTGATGGTATCAAGAATGTATACATATGTGCAAACTTATCAAATGGTATATATTAATTACATTCAGCTTTTTGTCTATAAATTATACCTCAAAAAAGCTGGGGAAAAAATAAAACGATCTTTGAAAACCTATTTAATGGTGTAGAAAGACACGTGCAAAGAGTACACTCCTCTTTTGAATTCTTTAAACCAATGGGTGCATGTGTGTGTTCACAGAGCAGATTATAAATATACATCAAATGCACATAAGAATTGTTCCTGGGTAGTAGGATTCTGGGTTAGTTCAATGCTTTTATGTTATCTTATTTGCACTCTTTTTGATTTCCTGTACCACACGTAATAATTTAACAATAAGAAAACCACATATGATTAAATGTTTGACTTTTAAAGCACAGCGTGAGATGACTATACTCTATCAGAGTAAATAGAAAGCATTGTATGTCCTTTTAAGGAAAAGCTCAGATGAGTAAAACCTAAACTTGTTGGTAGGCAGGAGACCAAGTAGAAAGAACGTACATATGAGCAAGGAGCAGAGAATATCACAGAGAGGACCCCTGTGGAGGATAGACATGACCTGCATCCGGTGGGCACGTCGGGGCGTTGCCTTTGCAGGGACTGGCATCTCTCCCACACGGCACTGCGACTCCAGCTGAAGTTGTACAGGGTGCAGCCCTGCTGTGTCCATCAGCAGTCACAGCACTGTCATTGCAAAGCATGTTATTTCACCAGAACCCACTTTGCTTCTATCCGATCCATTCCACAGATGAAGCGTGGGTGGTCCAGGAAGCTGACTGATGAGCCTTCACTAGTGAAAGTGAAGTCTTCTTTTCAACATTGGTTCACGCCAGTGTGGGCAGATGGGGAGGGAAGGAACCGGACACCTTGGTGTTATCACATCTCTCGTATTTAGTGACGGGGACCCAACAGGGACCCACTTACTCGAGCATTTGGGGAGTGATGAGTTTATTTGTGAAAAATAAATGGTTTATTGCCGTGGTTCTCACATGCTATCAGACAACAGGGAGAACAAACCCACAGAGTTTCTGCTTCAGGAGGTGTGAGCTGAGGGCTGAGAATCCACATTTCTCACCGGCTGTCAGGTGCCTCGTGCTGTTGGCCTGGGGCCATACTTAGAGAATCCCTGGTCTAGCTCCTTGCTAGTCGAAGGGCCCGCAGGTGAGGCATCAGCCCCGAGCTGGTTGGAAGACAGAATGTTGACCTAGTTTGACAGAATCGGAACCTGCATTTAACAGGACCCTCAGATGATCCGTGTGGATGTGAGAGTCTGGGCAGCAGGGCTTTGAAAGGTGAACCCAAAACCAGGAACAGTGTGTGTGAAACTCTATAATTTTTCTCAAGCTTCTGATGAAAACATAACATTTAAGTACTTGAGGCCTCTGAGCTCTGATGATGGGTAACAGTGACTTAAATTTCATCAACCTTGGAATCCTTATTTGACAAATATATTTTAAAAACTTGGCACTGCTCTGGCTGCGTGGCTCCGTTGGTTTGAGCATTGTCCCACACACCAAAACGGTGTGGCTTTGATTCTCGGCCGGGATGCCTACAGGAGGCAGCTCCCAGGTTTCTCTCTCCCATCGACGTTTCTCTTTCTCTCCCTTCCTTTCTCTCTAAAATCAATAAACACATGAGCGCAGGTGAGGATTAAAAAATATTGGAGTAGATGAACATATAGTTTCTGAATTCAGCAAGTCAATTTTGTGTTGGATGAAAACTGAAGAAAACCAGGCACCTGCTCTGCACGCCACTGGGTGGAAGACATGATGAGTGAGATACTTCACTCCCCACCAGCAACGGCTCAGAGTCAGCAGCCAGCTAATCGCCTGCCTTATCTCTGCAGCCAGCTTGTGCTCTGTGGCTCTGTTGGGTGGGGCAGAGGAGGAAGTGGGGACCAGATGGGCAGATGGGTCTGTCAGGTCCTGTCCTTCCCCTTGTGACCTTAACTTTGGAAAAACAGGAAGAACAATTGTTCTGTGGCCTACCTTGAACCACATCAAGACCCTTCCATTGCCATACTCATCTCTTTCTCTGTAGTCTTGTCTATTGAAGTGTCCGGCCTCTGAGGAAAGACATTGCATATGATTGGGTTTTTATGGCTGGGGGAACACAGATTTTCTTTTTCTTTTTCTTTTTCTTTTTCTTCTAAAAGGCTTTCTTCTTGAGTGCTTGGAAGAGAATAAAATATTGGGAGTCTTGACATCAGATTTCTTAGGAATAAGAAAGTTCTTACCCGATATGATCCTACAATCCTGGAATGGCCTTGAAAGCCAAGTGACTCTAGCATGTTAGACTTATTCTCCCATGCTTCAGCCTGATGTACACACATTTCTCATACACACACACACACACACACTCTCTCTCTCTCTCTCTTTCTCTCTCTCTCTCTCTCACACACACACACACACACTCACACACTCACACACTCACACACTCACACAATGAAAAAAGCATGCCTTTCTTCTCCCCTCCCCTTCAGAACGGTTCCTTCCTTCTCTAACATGCTCGTCCCCTGGCAGCCGGTGGTTGGTGGGAGCACAAGTGGTCAGATGTCACATCCTGCCCCATGTTGCACCCTTGTTGCTTTGGTCAAGACTAACCAAAGTGGAGTGAAACTCAGGAGCTGAGAAACCGAGTCACTCTGAGAGGATGGGAAATTGTCTCCAGAGAGAACTCAGGTGAGTCCTGACTGGGCACTGCGCCCTTTGGGAGAAAGAGAACAGCGGGGCGGAGGCTGGGCTCTCACCCTTGGAAGGTGGGACATTTGTGCTTAAGAAAGCTGGGCCGGAACACAGCACCCTCTGAGAACACAGCGACTCCCGCCCGCCACTCCTTTTCTTGCCTTACGTTGGAATCCTGGTAGGTTGCCAGATTTAGAAAATAAAAATACAAGGTACCAAAGCAAATTTGAATATCCAATAAATAAATATACTTTTGTATAAGCCTGCCCCATGCAATATTTGGAACATTATTGCATGGGTCATACTTATACTAAAAAAAAAATCATTGTTTATCTGAAGTTCAAATTTAACTGTGTATCCTATAATCTATTTAGCAACCTAGACAATGGTCACTTGAACCTTCCTAAACCTGTTTTCTCATTTGGGTATAGAGATTATCTTCCCATACATCAGCGTTAAGGAGTCAGCATTAGAATAAGCAGTCTGGTTGTTGGGATTATGGATGCACAATAATGCACTCAAATGCTTTTGATTTAACTAGTGCCTTTTAAAGACTATTTATATATATATATATTATTGATTTCAGAGAGAAAAGGATAGGGAGAGAAAGATAGTAACATCAATGATGAGAAAGAATCATTGATTGGCTGCCTCCTGCATGCCCCCAGGGGAGATGGAGCCACAACCCTGGTATGAGCCCTGAATGGGAATGGAACTATGACCTCCTGGTTCAAAGGTTGATGCCCAACCACTGAGCCACATTGGCTGGGCTTAAGTAATGCCCTTTATTGGTGACTTTTACCTCTATCATTTTCAAATGCTTTTGAAGTTGTAGAAAAGATATGGATAACAGGCATTATTCTTTTTACGTCTTCCTTAACCTTAGAGAACAGCACCCAACTCCCCATCCACGGTCCTAATCCTTCTAGAGAGTCTAATTATATTATGTTATTTAACAAGACTATTTTTTAAATTGACATATAATCCTATATAATAAAAGCCTACTATGTAAATCAACAGAATGGCGGAATGGCCGCCAGAATAACCATTTACATGATGTGCACTGACCACCATGGGGCATATGCTCAGCCCCGGAGCTGTCCCCAGCCTGCAGGCCCCACGCCAGCGGGGGACCACCTGATCTCCCTTCCAGTCGCCCTGCAGAGGGAGACCAGCGGCAGCGGCAGCGGGGGGCAGGGCCAGCGAGCAGATGGTGCCAGGCTGGCCAAGGCAGGTGCCAGTGGGGGCCCCACAATCACCCCGCCGGTTGCCCCACAATTGGCATTGATCTCCAGCCAGGACTAGGGACCTTACTGGTGCAAGAATTTCATGCACCGGGCCTCTAGTTGATATAGAACACTATATAAGTTTAAGGTATACAGTATGTTAATTTGATACATTTGTATATTGTAATATGATTATCACCATGACATTAGCAAACACCTCTATCACATCACATAATTATAATTTTTTCATGGTGCAAACAATTAAGGTCTAGTCTCTTAGAAACTTTGAAGTTTATGATACAACACTGTTGTCTGTAATCACTACACTGTACATGCCATCTCCCAGACTTATCTTTTAGTGCAACTTTGTACCTTTAACATCTCCCCATTTCCTCCTTGCCCAACCTCTCTCAACCACCATCCTCTCTCTGTTTCTACAGTTCACCTTCTTTAAATTTCAAATGTAGGTGAGATCACACAGTATTTGTCTCTGTGTCTGACTTATCTCACTTTGCATAATTTCCTCAAGGTCCATTCATGTTGTTACCAGTGGCAGGATTCCCTTCTTTCCCATGGCTGAATCGTACTCCATTGTATCAGGGGCACGGAATGTCAGCCAGGGCGCTGTACAAGGCCTGAGGAAACTTTGGGTCTGGTCCTGCCAAGGCACTAGGGGTGAGTTAATTAAATGTTTGACCAAATATAGCAGGCTAATTTTTTAAAAATATCTCTTTTTAATTGATTTCAGAGAGGAAGGGAGAGGGAGAGGGAAAGACAGAAATATCAATGAGAGAGAATCATTGACCAGCTGCCTCCTGCATGCCCTCCACTGGGGATTGAGCCCCCAACTAGGGTATGTGCCCTTGACCGGAATCAAACTCGGGACCCTTTGGTCCACAGGCTGATGCGCAATCCACTGAGCCAAACTGGCTAGGGCTAGCAGGCTAATTTTTAAGTTGATAATTTTGTAAGGCCCTCGAATGATGTTATAAATATCCGAATGGCCATTGGCAGAAAAAAAGCTCCCTACCCCTGGGTTGTATAGATATGGATGAGGTAGAGATAGAGATGTGTCATCTTAATCTATTCATCTGCTGACAGATACTTAGGTTGTGACTAAAGTGTGATGAACACGTGAGTGCAGATACCTCTTTATGATCCTGTTTTCTTTCTTTTTTTTTTTTTTTGATAAACAGTGGAACCTTGGTTCTCAAACTTAATTCGTTCTGGAAGGCTGTTCGAGAAGGGATTTTTAAAAACCAAATCATTTTTTTTCCCATTAGGAAAAATGTAAATTGAATTAATTTATTCCAGACCCCAAAATGATTCCCTGTTTTAACCTTTCTTATATACAGTGCAAGTGTAATGTATGGTGTTATCTGTAAACAAACACTTCTTTTCTTAAATTATCAAACCACCCCTCCTAGCCTTAATGGGATAACTTCCAGCACTTGGTCCAGGGCTGTCTTTCAGGTCAGCAAGCACCATCTTTCCTTTTTCACATGTCACTGCCCCCAAATGCTGTCACCAGCGAACTGCTTTTCCTTTATCCAAATCAGCAACAGTTCTCTACCTCTTCAATGGCCTGTGATCACTGCTTCTCTCAGACCCTGGCAACATTAGCACTCTTGATGGCCTCCCTTTCACCAGCAACAAAAGCAAAAAATAAAATAAAATAAAAAACACAAAATATATCTTTTTTGATTTCAGAGAGGAAGGAAGAGGGAGAGATAGAAACATCAATGATGAGAGAGACTCATCGATTGGCTGACTCCTGCACGCCCCACACTGGGGATGGAGCCTGTAACCCAGGCATGTGCCCTGACTGGGGATCGAACCATGACCTCCTAGTTCATAGGATGATGCTCAGCCACTGAGCCATGATGGCCTGGTAGGATTTCCTTCCTCTTTAAGACTGAAAAATAATTGATTGTATACATACCGCATTTTCTATATTTATTGTCAGTGAACATATGCATGGTTTCCATATCATGGCTATTGTGCATAATACTGCAGTGGGGACACAAGCATCTCTTTGAGATCCTGATAATGATCTCTTTGGATAACTATTAAGAAGTGGGGTTGCTGGATCATATCGTAGTTTTAATTTCTTAAGGATGCTCCATATGTGTTTCATAGTGCCGGCGCCATTTGCATGCCTATGAACAAACTTCCCAATTTCCCCATGCCCTCCCCACACTGGTTATTATTTGCCTTTTTTGTGATAGCCATCCTACACGGTCTGAGGGTCCGCCTTGTGGTTTTGACTTGCGTTTCTGAGGATTAGTGATGTTGAGCACCTTTTCATATGGCTTTTGGGCACTTACCTGTATGTCTTCTTGGAAGATGGAGGACAGATGACACAACTGTGCTCAAGGAGTTGAGTTCAAACATGTGCTCTGATAAAAATGTTTCCCTCTCTTTAGGGTTAATATTTATGGAAAACCTATATGAAACAGCATTTTGGGCCTCCAGAAAAAAATGAAACATAGAGGAGAAACTCCAGTGGATGCTAATTTTAAGCATTGAGAAGCCTCGTTAGGAGACACTGTAATTAATAGCATTTTAAAAATTGGAGATTGTATAGCCGAGAGAGAACCAAAAGGTGACCAGTGAAGCCTCCGTGTGCAGCGTGGTGATTTAATACATGCACACACCGTGGCAGACCCCTCGGGTCTAGTTCCCGATGCCAGGCCTGTGTGGTTTCCCCTCCACCACCACAGCGTCTTCTGCAGGTGGGGCAGAGGCTAATGTGTTCAAGCACAAACCATGAGCTATAGAAACAAGAGGAAGAAATGAAGGGGGTTCTGGTTGGAGTGGCGGAAAGAAAGGGCACGTTTGAGGAACTGCTGTTTGGACTGTTGTGAACATGTTAGGCAGGCTTCCACGAGGAGGAACAGATTTGCCAAATTGGAGGAACAACATGTGAAAATATATGAGTTTGAAGTATGGTGGTTCAGGGGTGACAATTCAGTTGCGGATAATTGGAGCATATTGTTCAAGGACAAGTCCAATAGGAGAAGCTGAACATACAGTTTGGTGTTTGATGATGGAGAGTCTTCAAAGGCACGTAGGAAGTATGTGGACATTTATGAGTTAGAGAAAGATGTATTGTAGCTTATAGGGAGAATGTCTATCCTCACTGAGTACGGTGGAATGACAGGGAATAACGGACAAAGTTAAGAAACTTAACATGTAACAGGTAAGAGATGGTGAAGAGCTGATGGTGAAATTCGCAGGAACAATCAAAATGGAAAAAATAAAAAAAGAGATTCCATACAACACACTGCCAATGATTCATTTTGGTGCTTGTCAGTTTTTAGATCACAGATATGGCGAGAGAAGCCTAAAACGACACCGCCCCCCCCATGAAGTTGTGTACTCCCCGCCTTTCTCGGGGACCTTTTCATCACGGGAGAATCTTGGACTATGCTCTGATCTTGGAAGATGAAGGAGATGCTGACACTGGGAGGGGAGTGACAGATCTCAGAGAAGGTGGTACGGGAATTTCCAACTTCCTCCTGCAGCTATCAAACAAATCTCCATAAAAAGTACCAGATGGAGGAAACAAAAATGATAAGAAACAGACTCAACCCAACCCATGAGCCACTTCTCTTTTGAAAAAAAAATATTACATATGTCCCCTCCCTCCCTGCCTCCCACCCAATAACCCCTTCTAGCTTGCCCCACCCCCTCGCCCCAGGTCTTCACCCATGTCGGTGTCCATGGCTTATGCATAACTGCATTCAAGTTCATTGGTGGATCTCTTCC